AAGTTATTATGAGAATGAAAAGTTGTATGTCAATGAGAAAAAAGTTAAATACATGAAAAACGACGCACTTTCTTCTTTAAATAGGAGAAATGATTAACAAGTGAACGTGTGTGACGCACTTCCTTCTTTAAATAGGAGAAGTGGTTAACAAGTGAATGTGTGTGACAAAACATGAATTACAATCAAATGTTAGATTGATCTAAACAATCGATAGGATACTTGCGTGAGGGATTGCCTCTTTCGTGGGGAAAAAAAAGTATCTATATATCATGTGTTTGTCCCATTGCTTCGTTATTGATCTTTATACACCTTGTAGATGACTCAAAACAATCTTAATTGTAATGATTAAAATTGAAAATTTACATATTTAGTATAAAAATAATTTTCTATTATATTTATACAAGTTATCATGTCAATTTTTTCTCTAAATGTGTGTGTTAAGAAATTTATTGATGAAAAAATTGCATTAAAAAACAATAAAGTTAATTATATATTTTTAATAAAAGGGTTAAATATGTTTTTTATCCTTATAAATATCTCAAATTTTATTTTTAGTTCCTAATAAAAAAATAATATATTTTAATCCTTACAAAATCTTTATTCATGCAGTTTTAATTTCTATTTTTTTTAAAGTTTTGAAAATTGTTTAATTACCTTTAAATTTTTTAATAATTTTTTCATAAGTGTTTAGATTTCTATAAAATATTTATTTATTAAATTTTAGAATTTTTTAAAATGAGAAGAATTAAATATGAATTTTTTAGATTTCAAAAAATATTGATAAAAAGCAATGAAAATTTCAATTTAAAAATCAAATTTTGAGTTTTTTTTTTTTGAATTTTTTTATAAAGTTCTAAACATATCAATAAAATAATAATTCAAAAATACACATCGATTTAACTGTAGGGATTAAAACTAGGTGCATAATAATTTTGTAAAGACTGAAACATGTCAGTATTTTTTATAAGGATCAAAAACAAAATTTGGTAATTTATAGGGACCAAAAGTATATTTAATCCTTAATGAAATTAATACATAATTTTTATGGTAAAATATGTTCTTGATCCTTATAAATATCTCAAATTTCATTTTTAAATCCTATTAAAGAAAATGACAAATTTTGGTCCCTAAAACATTTTTGTTCATTCAGTTTTAGTCTATGTTATTTTCTAAAATTTTAAAAACTGTTTAATTACCCTTAAACTTTTAAATTTTTGAATAATATTTTTCGTGCGTGTTTAAAATACTATAAAATGTTTCTTTATCAAATTTTAGAATTTTTTAAAATGAGAAGAATTAAATATGATTTTTTTTAATTTCAAAAGATATTAATAAAAATAATAAAAATATCTTCTTAGAAATCAAATTTTGAATTTATTTTTTTTCAATGAACTTTTTATAACGTTTTAAACATGTCTACGAAATAATCATTCAAAAATACACATTGGTTTAACAACAGAGACTAAAATTACGTGCATAATAATTTTGTAAGGACTAAAACTTGTCATTATTTTAATAAGGACTAAAAATAAAATTTGAGATATTTATAGGGACAAAAATATATTTAATCCTAATTTTTAAAATAATTCTTTTATTATTTAATTTTGAGTGAAAATCAATTTACTTTATGAGCAAGTTCTTTTAACTTACTCCAAATCATAATCTTTAAATTAAATTTAATATAATAATTAATTAACATTTTTACTTAATTAATCATTAGATTAGATTCAATTTAAAAGTTATGATTTAAAGTAAGCTAAAAAAATGTATTCATGTAATAAATTGATTTCCACTTTTTTAATTTTTAATATATTAGAAAATTGAAATGAATATAATAGAATATGATCATATATGACTAGAAGGGATCATCAATAGCCCACAAGCTTGAGTTGAATGGCGGTTTGAAGTGAGTAAGGGGTGTATCTGCAAGAAACTCCGATGCCAAAGTAAGAATATAGACAATCAGAGTAACACTCTATTCTCCGTCGATAATTTTAAACAAATATCAAAGTAAATTAATTTCTAGAATAAACATCAACAAATAGGATGTCACATCGTCATACACCATGCATGCTCAATAAACAAGATAGGTAACGCAAAATCATAAACTTCAAATCTTAAACTTCATTGCATTTATTCGCTGCGGAAAACATCAATAAATAATTATTCTCAATCCTCAACAAGAGTGATATTTTTCATCATCCAAAAATCAGCATAGTCATCAGGTAAATTCAAAACAACATAGTTATACAAAGTTTACTCCCAACATAATAAGACAACACAAAACCCCCAAATATTACGTATCAGAGACACCGACTCAATCTATGCAACTGAGGTAACTCTTCGGTTAACCTCGACCTCGAGCTACTTCGAGTCATCTGCACGTTATCCACGTAGAGGCAACATTCAAACAGAAAGGGTGATATATCATAATAATATAAGAGGAAGTATAATAATGAGCAGGTAGAAATTCAAGTACACATCATTATACATCTTTACCTCACACCTTTTTTTATTCATCATACTACGAAACACATCAACATAATTAAATGCACAAACAACACAAAACATTTGTCATAACAAAAGTAGAAATTCATTCAACGCTCAAATAATCAGTTACTAACAATCATGCAATGCAGTGAAACTGACACTAACTCAATGTATGTGATACCAATAAGACAAAACCCTCAACTTAATAAATACCAACTTGGGACAACAACGCCAATACAGACCATCTTTCGCCAATACGGGTCATCTTTCCCCAATATATGCCATCTTTAGTGAATGCATGTGACACTGACATGCAACAACATAATGTCACATTGATTATTCTTATCTATCAATGTCACGCCAATACAGGCCAACGTCATCATCATCGTTATGCAATACATCGCGCAAACAATCAAACCATTCATACAAGATCATCTTACTTAATCACAACATAATCACGCATTACTCAGGAATATACACAAATAGGAACTAATGTTGGTAAAATGATTAGCTACTGTATTTCAATTTATTTTTATAGGATAGAAAATGATTTTAGCTTTTCAACAGTCTAAATGGCGCGTCAAACAGACACCCGGGGTAAAAGTTATGCAATTTATAATTTTACAAAATTTTGTCTAACACAGTGACAACCGGTTACTGCATTACGATAACTGGTTACTGCGCAAGTTAATAGGTTTTTTTTTCAAAAATCTGCCAGTGGTAACTGGTTACTGCATTACGATAACCAGTTAATGCGTAAGATAATAGTCTATTTTCCTCAATTTTTCACGTGGTAGCCGATTACCAGCAGACCAGTAACTGGTTACCACAGTTGCAGAACTAAAAAATTTACAACTTTTTCAAATGCGATTTTCCATTTTTCAAAACCCAAACTTTCAATATTCCTATAAAAAAATGTCTTTCAAGCATGCTAATTATTCACCAACATTGTCTATCAATTCTAATTGATTTATATCATCCAATTTCATCAAAACATACCAAAAACATCAAGAATTCATCATTGGAGAAAAATTCTGAAACAACCAAATAGAGAGAAATCAAGAACATACAATCATGAAACCTAAACACTATCATACCCTATCATTAGACAACCCGTTATAGTATTAGAATCCCCAATTACCTTAGATTATCGCGGTTCTTGATTCCTATGGTGAATCTTTCTGCCCTATCTTCCTAGTATTTTCATCTCTTCTCACCTCTACGTTTCACTTTCTCTTGTTTCTACAATCTAACTCTTTTTCCTTATTCTTTCTTTAATATATCCCAAAATAATATAATCTTCTTAATCAATTAATTATTTAATAAAATAATAATAATCATATTATTCTACTAATAATTCAATTTTAATTATTACAAAATAATAGTAAACCTCATGTTTAACCCAAAAATATAAATTATCACTCTCACCCTTATGTTTCTACACCTTTAGCCATACATCCCTATCACCTCAACTTATATAGTTTCTAAGACATCTAATTATTAACAAATGCATAACATCACATCAAAATATTCACCAGCGCATACAAATACATCACATCATCTAATTATTTAATAAAATAATTCCAACTAATTCATAAGAATACATCACACCTCTAATTATTTGATTAAAAACAATTCTAATTAAATTAGGGTGTTACAAGATCCACGTATGGGTCCAACAATTAAGCCCAATAACAAAGATTATCAAAGTTACGTGCATAGTGGAGTCCAACACGTGACCTCCTTCCTGGTCAACTGCCCTGAGATAATAGGAAAATTTGATCCGTTATTCTCGACGGGAAGAATGGTGGTGGTTACGAATAACTGTTGGCCATGTTTCTCTAGTGGGCATGTAGAGAAATCCCCAATGGTTATTAATTTAGGCTGGATATCATTGAACCTTAGCAGAGGCATTGGATTGGGCCTCCCTAAGAGTGGATCAAGTGCCAACCCAATCTAAAACAGAATAGTTTAACAACTAAATATAAATCAACAGTTTATTAAAAAAAAATCTACATTTTATAAACCGATAGTTTTGAAAAAAGGAAAATTTAATCTGCCATCCTAAAATTTGAATTTGACACCTTCAAATATTTTTATAATATCAAAAATATTCTTATAAAATAAATAATAAAATGGGTAAATGAAACTTTCTGTAGCTTATTCAAAATTTCTTGAAATATATATTTAAATTTTTTTGATAAATTTCTGAAAAATGCACATATTTCAAAATTATTAATAAAAAATTTCATAAATTTTTATATCTGTTAAAAATTCCATGTATTTTTATTTAAAATTTCAAAATTTCAAAATTTCCCATAAATATTCATAAAATTTATGATTTTTTATCAAAAATTTTGAAAATTTGAATATAGTTATTAAAATTTAATAAGTTTAGAGTAAAATATAATGGTTAAACCATGTTAAAGAAGTTAATTTAAAGATATTAAATTTATTTGCTTCATTTGTCAAAACCCTGATATCCAGTAAACCTCATCTGAACGGAAACCATGGCAAGACTCGTTTCTCTCTCTACCCTCCCCTCCTCTCTCCTCCTCCCCCCTAACCGCCTCCTTTCCTCCTCCACTCGCCTCCGCTCTCAACTTTCTCCATCCTCTTCCTCCCGTTTCACCACCGTCCGATGCCGAGTCAACCGTGCCGGAAACTCGACCTACTCCCCACTGAACTCAGGAAACTCCAATTTCAGCGAGCGCCCACCCACCGACATGGCCCCTCTCTTCCCTGGTTGCGACTACGAACACTGGCTTATTGTTATGGATAAACCTGGGGGTGAAGGGGCCACTAAACAGCAAATGATTGATTGCTATGTTCAAACCCTCGCTAAGGTCCTTGGAAGGTGATTTTTCCTTAGGTTTAAGCTATTGGATCTTCTTTTTTCTTTTCTGTTTAAGATTTTAGGTTTTGATTCTCTTTTTTCAGTGAAGAGGAAGCTAAGAAGAAGATTTACAATGTTTCCTGTGAGAGGTACTTTGGATTCGGATGTGAGATTGATGAGGAGACATCTAATAAGCTGGAAGGTATGTGTTGGAAGTGTTTCTCTGATTATTCTTTCTGTTGCATTTCTATTTGACTTTTTTGTTTTCTTTGATTAGGGTTGCCTGGAGTTCTCTTTGTTCTCCCTGATTCATATGTTGATCCCGAAAACAAGGACTATGGTGGTGAGAATCTAACCCTGCCTTGGTTTTATTATTGACCATTTCGTTCACTTTCCTCCTTAACATTTACTATTCACCATTTGTGTGATTATTGTTGGTTCACAATTGTCACTTGTATGCTGATCCTTGATTTCTCAGAAAATCGCAATCAAGTGTATCTCAAGCAGCCTCTATTGTGGTTGCATTGCTCCCTCCGGAGACATATAAAACCTTGATCTCACGGGCCAAATTGCGTTTTTAAACCCTGCATACTAGGCCTGGCTTATATGCATATGGACCTGCATCAAATGTCTCTCTTTAACTGTTTTTTGCTTTATTTACTATGTGGAGATGGAACGTATAATTATTGTCGGCCTCTATGCATTGTCTTTATTTTCTTGACTACATGGAGATGCATTGTCATTTGGTATGATTAAAACAGTTTTATTCTACCAAATAGTTTATGCTTTCCATGAAGTCGTAATGAGAAAGTTATCACTTTATATGAAGTCCATCTTAGCAAAGCTGATAACTCGTTCTTTGTAATGTCTAGCTTTGAATGCTAATGGACTAATAAATATTTGGTGAACACTCTGGTACCCTAGAGTTTAGTTGAGTATGTATTATTATCCAATCGTTCAATGTCGGATATTTTACTTTATCACTTCTTCAATGGTGTTTACAGAAGAACGATAGAAAAGATTAATTACTCTGCACTCTTGATGTGTTGCATCATAAGTGGTGTAGCTGCAGAATCATTGAACTCTGATACATCATTTGACATACACTCACAATCACTTCTTCAATAGGCCAATAGTGTTTCTCTGGTTTGAGAAGTCAGAAGTCTCCAATACAATGATCTATTTGTACAACAATCTAGACCTCATAATTTATTATATTAGAGTACTCTTCACTTCTGATGCTATTCATATGTTGTTTATGTGCAATTCATACCATAGTTAGTTCAGTATATATAAAGACCGTTGGCTTTGTTTTCCTGTTGCACGACTAAGGTTATGATATTTATATTCTTATGTATAGCTGAGTTATTTGTGAATGGAGAGATCGTCCAGAGGTCACCTGAAAGACAGAGAAGGGTGGAGCCACAGCCACAAAGACATCAAGACAGACCGAGGTACAATGATAGAACAAGGTATGTTCGACGCAAAGAAAACACAAGATGAAGTAGCTTTCGATAACAAGAAGGGGACAAAGTGATATAAAGGGCAAGAGAGAGAGAGAGACATGATCTGAAAGACTGAAGGCTGAATTTATTCGATGTTCTATTGGTAAATAGATATGTTTGTACTTGAATCAATATGAATATAAACTTAATTATGCTATCAAATGCCTTGTCCTTAATCACTTCTCTTACAAAATGTAATGAATTATAGTTGTTTTTTATTGGTATACTACTATTAAAATTCATGTTGGTATGTAGAGCAAGGTTTCAGAATCCTTGTTTCTCATTTTAGGTTCAACCACTGTCAAGGATAAGTACAACTAATTTCCTTTTTAGTTTGGTTCCTGAAGTCAGAGAGTGATACTTACGGGTGTAATCGGGTTGGTTTGGACCGATTTTTGGTCAAGAAAAGGTCTGAATCGATGATATCTCCATCGGTTTGGTTTGGTTTTAAATAATTTTTTAAAATGGAACCGAATCAAATTAATTGATTTGGTTCGGTTGATCGGTTTATAATGTTTTTTTAAACATTATATTCATTAGTGCATTCTCAACTATCATGTTTTTTTGGTGCATTTTATGCTACCCGCTATCTCATTAAAAATGTCATATTTGAACAATGTGCGGTTCTTAAGAAAATGATAAGATGTGTTGATTTTAATGATAAAATTAATATTATTTATTAGAATATCCTTATTAATTGTAGTTAATAGAGTAGTTGAATAAAATAAAAGTTAACAAATAGGATATAGAATGAGAAAATAATAATAAATGTTGTATTGATATCGCAAAAGAACAATTATTTTGAGACTAAAAAAAATACAAATGAGACACTTTTTTTATGAGACAAATTATCTATTATTTTTTAAAATAATACATTTTATGATCTATTTTTTCAAATACATTACAAGTTTCTCGTAATTCATATGAAATAGTGATATGATTTCCATTGCATTATAAAATAAGTTTACTATCAAATATAAAAATTGACACTTGACATCGGAGAGTTGTAAATAGATTTGAAAGCTTAACAAATAGAATACAATAAAACACCTATCAATTAACATGTTTTATACTTAAAAGCAAATATCAAAACTAATATTTTGTAACAATTGTGGCGGACAGCGAGAGTAGTAGTTTAGTAAAAGAATATTTTTATTACTTATGATTTCTTCTATATTTTGGAGTTTGATTTTAGATGTGTGTTTTGTTAAAAGGATTGGAGTGTAAACAAAAATGGGAAATGGTTGGATTGGTACAATATTTGGGCTTAATGAGGGGGGAAATCAAAGATTTAGAGCATAATTATATTTATTGGTTTGGTTCATTGATTTGACGGTTCCTAAAAATTAAAATTGAGAGTCGAATCAAACCACGTTGATTTTCATTGGTTCGCCTCGATTTTAAAATCAAATCAGAAATAATTGATTTTATTTTAATTTAATTCGACTTAAATTATCGATTTAATTTTTTTTTATTCACTTATCCCCGTAATGATTTTTTTATAGATATATCAATACGATAAGTAGTCTCCAGAATATATAGAACTTGTTTTGATATACATGTTAAGATGTTTCAAACTAATGAATTATCATTTATTTTAATAATTAAATTTGCAACTTTTATATACTTTAGAGAAGATACATTTAAAAGAGAATAGTTTAAAGACAAAATTTCAACCATCGAGTCCATAATCATAGTTATATAATAAATTTTACGAATAGATCATAGGTAAAAGATAACTAATGTGAAACTTTGGAGAAAAATAGTATTTATTAATCATGGAGAGATGGAAAGAGAATACTACATAGTATTTATCTTTATCAAAATGAACCATAAACTTTTATGGAGAGCAAGGGATACTAGTGATGAGGAAGAAAAAGTATTTATTAATCATGGAGAGAGAGAAAGAGAATTACATAGAGTTATCAAAATGAACCATAAATTTTTAGAGTAAAATAAGATATTATTTTGATGAGGAAGAAAAGGTAAAATGAAAAAGAAAATGTAAAATGAGATATTATTGTGATGAGAAAGAGGATGTTTGATCGTGTTTTAGTGATGAATTGATACATATTTTCCTTTACAATTGAGACAAACATAAGATTTTAAGATTCTGGAAATTTTAGAAAAATAGAATAAAAGACTCATATTCATAAACACATTAAGTAAATTTGAAAATCTTTCACGATTATCATTGGCTTAAGCATCATAGTGTTTATAGTTACTCCTACGACATACTAGAGTTTGAAGAACACTATAATTTTCAATTGAAGTCATCATATTTACGTTCACTCTCTTTGTGTGAACCAGCAAGGTCATACCAAATCATTTAGCATGTGAAAAATAATTTTAATATTCCATAACATCACTCCAACAAACTTAATGGTGAATAAAGAAAGAAGGACAACAACAACAGTTGTGGTCAAGATGCATTGATCTATGATCAACGTAATTGCCAAAATTATTTTGAAACCAAAGACGGACGAATGACGTCGTCATCGCCTTTTGAGTACCCGTCCCGTTCTCCCACCACCACCACAATAGGAAATTACCTACTACTCGAGGATGCCTCCCCCCCCCCCCCCCCCCCCTCTCAAAAAAATATCTCTAGATTTCGGATGTGCACATCCAAACTCACCTTAATTACTAAGATAAAATGACTTCGTATATGCATATCTGAAATTATCACGATTAATTTTGTTATTAAATTGATTCAGATATGCTTATCTGAAGCCACCTGATTGCCGAATTCAGGTAGGCATATTTAAATTCATCTATGAGACAGACATAATCAAATTCCTTAAAATCAAAATAATAACACATAGATCCAACATAGATTATCGAAATCACATAGCTAGCTCAACATAAATTTCACATTAATATTGTTATAAACGGGGTGTTGAAGAAGTCACAATATTTTTATAACATCTTCTCCCGATCTTTGAAGCTTTGCATCCACCTCAATCGGCCCCTTTGAAGAGTATTATTAAAAAGTACTCCACATAACCTCTAAATCATCATTGTTCTTGAGCTCAAATGAGGTGAACTTTATATTTCCTTTAATGTCAAATGAGGGTACTCAAGCTTGACCATATTTCAATTCTCTGGATAGTAAAAGAGAATTCAGTGTGGTAATCAGCTCGGGGAACAATGTTTCCTGCGGGGACCTGAATTGAAGTGGTGAAACCTCACCACTGAAGTAGACAAAAGTAAGGTGTGAATATGTTTGTGTCATTTCTGTTTGTGTTTTGTGATAATGATGAAATGGTTTAGAGATCTTATTTATAGACTTTTTGGAGCAATTTGGACCCAAGAAATCTTATCATGCTATCAGAACTTATTTCAGATATGAACATCATAATTAACCTTTTTTTTACCAAAATAAGGGGTATTCAGATATTCACATATGAAATTACCCATGTGTCCAATGCATGATTATGCATACCGGAAATAACATTAAACTGCCGCAAATCATCTATCCTACAAGATGTACGTAATTTAAACAGACACTCACATTTTCTCGAACTCGTGTCATGATGTTTTAACTTCTGAATTTTTGAAACATATTTCTCATTTCTCTCGCATGTCATTATAACAAATGCTTTCCTTTTACTACTGTCATTGTCTAACCTTTCAATCAAAACCCCAAACCCAAGTTTGTTAGCTTCCATTTGGATCCATTCAAGCATATGTTGACGATGGGTGAAACTTTTTTTCATTTATAAATTATTGTCGAACATCTATCACAATATCAATCATTTTAATATCGCCCTTCACCTCATTCGACTTATCATCTTCGTTGACCTTGTCTGGAACATTTAAGACAACTTTGGGAATCATGTCGGGGTGCATCACATCTAACACGGGCAAAAAACAGAAATTTGGTTAAAACATAATTTTGTTTTTGTAACAGATGTGTTTTCAGATATGCACAAATCTGAATTAGGGTAGGTTGAATTCGGATATGCATATCTGAAATGACGTTGTTTTTTTCATCTTAAAATCAACATCAATGCAAGGAATATGAGATGAAATGAGGAAAATTTATCTTAAATCGTAGCTTTATATGCTCTCTTTGTTATGATCAAACACTTGAAACTTGGTTTGGAGACAAAAAATTCATTGAGAATGGTCGAAGTTTTATGGAGGGTTTTGGTTATTGGGGGGGGGGGGAAGTGAATAAAATAGTGGTAGGGGTGATCATACAACAAATTTATATAGCGGACTTTCTGCTTATGAATCAGAATCAGAAGATGAATATGAAGTTTCTGAAGATGAGTCAGAATTAGAAGATGACTCTGAAACTGAAGATAAGTCATAATTTGAATGTGCCTCTGAGTCTGAAGAAGAATCAGAATCTAAAGAAGATTATGCTCTTGAAAATGAGTCAGAACTTGGAAGTTCTAAAGGTGAAGAATCTTCTGGAGACTCTGAAGGTGAGTATTTTTAGATAAAGCCATTTTCGCAAATAATTTGACCATCATTTTAGTTGTATACACTTTTGCTGCTTATTCTCTTGCCATGATTTTTACTTCTTGTAAAAATGGTTTATACTTCTTTAAGTATTTCCCATTTACTTTCAGGATTCTTCGATCCTCAGTTAACTCTTCTATTTCGTAAGCATTGTTTGAGAATACCTTTAAGATTTGAAAAGGTCATTCCCAATGTGGAGACCATTTTCCTAACGCTTTATTCTTTTGATCCATAGGTAAAATGACTTTCCATACCAAGTCATTTATAATAAGCGTCTTGCCTCTGACCCTTTTATTGTATGCTTTTGCCACTCTTTCCTTTTGTCTTCTCAATCTTTCTAAAGCATGCAACCTTTTTTCATCTAAATCTACTAATTCATTCATCATTATTTCCCAATAAAGGTCAGAAGGAATTTCTTATTGTCTTTGAATTCTAACTGATTGTAAGTAGATTTCGATTGACAATACTACATCGGATCCAAATGTGAGTTGGAAAGGTGTGGTATTAGTTTCTTCTTTAGGGGAA